TGTCAAAATTAAATATTTTAAAAATTATTTTTATATTTTTGAAAATAATATAATTATTGGTTTTAATTTTACTTTTTGTAATACAACATTTAATGTTATGTATACTCGACCTGTTGTATTTCGAATCGATCCCCTGTTGCGCTCTACATCTATGCCCTTTGTAGGCATTCAAAGGAGATTGTCTCGTTGTAACATACTGCTGCTGCCGCCATTATTCGTGGGAAATTCAGGGCGCGTAATCGTATTCTGCCTCCCTCATTTAACGAGCGGAAACATTATTAACAAGTGTATACTGGACTTCTTTTTTTTATCTCCGCGCAGCCACCATCGCCACCGCACAACATCGGCCGCTACGCCAACGACGATTCTTCGTCGCCTCTTTTTTTCTTCTCCCTCTTTTTCTAGAAGCCATTGTCTATACGGTCGTGGTTTCTCAGCGACGTGGCGTGGGAAGGTTCGCAGGGCCTTAAAGTTCGCGCCGTTCAAGGTGAGGTGTATGCACGGGGAAGCCGGAGTCGCGCCACTCTAACCCAATTTATATATCGAAGAGCATTGCTGTGAAGCCATATTTATATCAAACAGAATCTACGAGGGTTTACTTTTTAGAGGGTGTACTTTTAGCGCGAATTTTTAGTGCGCTCATGGAGCTTTATTACAATCACATGGTGATATATATTTACCACTTCTCGACTATTTTCTAGGAAACTTCTGGAACGCCGATAGAATAATTCATTCCAGAAGTTTTCAATTTATTATTTACTTAGTTGACTTTCAAGAAACAATTTGTCATAACTACGTTACCAGGTTATCATGCTCTATTACGTCAGAACAAAGACCATATTACAATTGCAGATTATAAATCTAAATTTGAGTACACATGCAGCATCCGCCGCATACCACAGAAAAACATATTTATTAACGTTCGCACAGTATGTACGCGGTTTATTTAAGGAGGTCGTCGGGCTTTAATTATGTAATTACCGAACGCGATTAATTCGCGGCTGCAATTAATTAGCATCCATCCGCGGCAGGACGAATAATAGCTGCGCTTCAGTGGGGCAATAGGCCTCTTCTATCTCTCCTCTGTTTCTCCTCTCCTCCCTAATTACATATTAATACGTAACCCGACGCAACAATCGGCATTTTTTAACAAGAATACTAATCGTCTGGTATTGTTTGTTCTTTCTGTTGCAGCCGGAAGAACGCGATCATTCTCAGGACCCAGCTGTCCGTGAGGGTCCACACTATCATAGGTGAGTACCACTATCGTGAATTCCTGATTCAAATCTCGCGACGGGCTCCCACGATCCACTTGGATGGATCATCCGCGCCGGCCGCGCGCGCTGATTCCTCCAGTCTTAACTGGCAGCATCGGGTCGAGTCTCGTTCTAGTTACTCGGTCACTTGTTTCGGTTCACCGACAACGGCGACCTTCCACTAACTGTAACGCTGATGCTATATCGAGTTTTGATAATCGTAGATGAAGACAGATGAGTATATATAAGATACTTGTATATACAAGTATTAAGATTTGTATATAGAAGATGAATATATACAACAGATTTGATCATTAAAAAGTTTTATATGCAGACAGTCTCGTCTAACTAATTTTTAAATAATTTTGTTTATAAATAAGATATAAAAATGTCGAGTAATATTAAACGTGAATAAAATTGGAAAATCAGATGTAGATACATCTAATCAAAACGTTATTAATTATTTAATTATAAATCGAATTTATATTTTTGCAGAAGTTTAATTTTCTTTAATTATCAAGATATATTTAATCTTGGGAATTAAGGGAATATATGGAAAAGTGATATCTGAATATGTTCCCGTTAAAAATTACATATTAATTACATATTAATATTTTCTATTTTTTCTCTCTTTCTTTTTATATTTTTTTGAAATATATAAAATAATTTTATACAAAACATATTTTTAAATTTAGAATTATCTATAAAACTAATAAATTTAACATTACTAGAGTATTTTAATTATGCGGTCACTTGTTTTGGCTTAGCGACAATGCGATCAATCATTGATTATGAGTGAACACGTCATTTAACCATCATGGTTTCAAAAGATCTAAATGTATATGAACCATGTATCATTAATATGTATAACTTGTATTGATTATCATATTGACATTGCATTCAATTGATGACGTTTCTGATATTCAGATAAATAAACAGACTTATGTTTAATTATAATCTCTGAAAGATAATATGTATATATATATAATGTGATTAAAACTTATTGTAATTTTTAACCATGGATTCTTCAACTAATTTAAAATTAATATTTCAACTAATTCAAGATTGATATTTTCTTAATAAAAATTTAGAAAATTTTTTGATTATAAGCACAAAAGATATTCCATGAATTAAAATTTTAACACATACATTTACTATTTCATCTTTTAGATTTTTTAAATCTCTAAAATAAAATATGTTTTTATAAAATATCTTAAATTTATTTTTGCATTTGAAATAAAGATTTATGTAGGCAAAATAAAAAATGATAAAAACATAAAATAACAATTTATTATAATAGAATACTTCTATATCAACACATATGAAGAAGCACAAATTTTCAAAGAAACAAGCTTTCTTTGAAAATTGAATTTTCAAAGAAACAAGCTATCCTTTTAGATAATCAATATTTTAAAATATAGTAATACATATCGATATTTTAAAAAATATTTAAAATCTTTTATTTAAAAACGCAAATAACTTTTTAATTGCAATATTAATAATAGCTCTTTGAACAAAACTTTGTAAAAAGATATAAATGATGCGAATGGTTATAAGGACAAGAATAGCGAATGTATAATTACATCTACAATACATCTTTAAGTAAAAAAAATGCAATTCAATTTTTTTAAATACACACTGTGACATAATTATACAATGTCGTAAACAATGAGCTCCGTTGCCTGTTGATAATTAGCAAAGTAACGACTATACCGCTGAGTGCGGAACGCTGTACCTGCGAAAATCAAGCTAATCCTTTATCGTAGCTCAGCGACCATCCATCACCGACTATGACAGACAGTACTTAATCACATAATGTCGAATAAAAACTCTTTCCATTCTTTTTACTTAGCAGCAATATAAAAATTTTATTAGTATTATAACAAATAAAGAGAGGCTCTCTCCATACATATTTCTACATAATTCTTTTATTGTCATATGATATCTCTCTCTTTTTTTCTTTGCATAGTTAAAAAATGTTCAAATATTTATGTCTATCTTTATAAATTATTTAATATTTTACGAAAATATTTAGGAATTCTTATTTTTTTGTTCTAATATGGCTTTATTGAATCATATAATTTTAAAAATATAGCTGAAATAATTTACTATACAAGTAATATAAATGTGATATAACTAATAAAAATTTATATATATATTGAATATCATTAAAACCTTTTTATAATATCATGATAAATCAATGCAAACGTTTGATATCCAGACTTTTCTTCTCGAAAGCAAAAAAAACTTCATTAATTTTCTAAATATTTTTCTCGATTTAGTGAGTTAAAAATATTACAAGAAAATTAACTCAAGCTACATTTCACAGACTTACCATATCTGCGTTTTATACGTTTTTCCATGTTAAATACGCGCGCGCGCGCGCGCGCGTACTCTCAATTAAATACATGCTTTTTTAAATAAGCGAGCGATGATTCGTTGTTTTATAAATTTCACGGAAATAAAATAAACGACTTTATAACGAACGTATTATTTTAATAAAAGTATTGTAATTAAATCTTGTTATGCCTGAATTGCAATAATTATCGGCATGCGCTTTAATTACTGATGCTCGTATAGAAATAATATCGATAGGTATGTTATGACTTTCTTTTTTGATCGTGCTATATTTAAAAAAAAAATTATAGCTCTCATTTTACTCGTTTTAATAAATTTAATGAATATATTAAAGCTATTAAAAGTTTTCGCCTTTTTAAAAATTTATATTAACTTTATTATTTGAGTAAACTTTAAATCAGTTCTATTACGATGATTGATATATCTGAAAACTATAATATTAAAATAATATTTAAATATGTGTGATTGTATAATACAATTTATATATATTAATAATTAATTTGTATTTACGTTTTTTTAACATTGTAATATTATTTTTGTTAAAGAGAAATATTTATATGGAATGTTCAGATAAACTTATTTGTATATATAACTTACAAACATTAACTTTTTGAAAACAACCGAGGATATTCCTGACATCTTTGTGCCATGCAAATTATTCCCCACTTTGTGAATTGTTTCAGCTGTCAGTATTGTTCTCTGGCGGTAACTGCTTTGTTAACGTTCTATCGTATTTTGCTTGTATAATTGAGCTAATTGTAATCAAAACTTCGAGAATCATCGTTTCGCTATACATAGTAAAATGTTGCACGATGCTCGCAACAATTATGCAGAGTATCTGCATTTCTATTTAACTATAAATTTTCTTTGACATTTAAGGAGTATCTTTCTCTCTTCACATTTATTATTTAAAACATTTTTGACAATAAACAATTAATAACTAAACTATAAAATATCTTTTTAAAAGGTCTGTTTAAAACTAGTTATATTAGATGTATAGATTTTTTCTTTTTTGTATAGAACCGAGATGTATAGATTTTTTCTTTTTTGTATAAAACCGTAATAACGCAATTTTTTAAATTTTTTATAATTAAAAAATTGTTAATAACTGAATCTTTAAGCAACCTACTCTTTTTTGTTTTCTAATGTTGGGACAAAAAGCTGTAGCATCTTATGTATGATCGAGTTTAGATTTTTATATTAAATTTGCTAGGAAATAAGAATTTTGCTGAAATGTTCTATATGCTAATGTTCTATGAAATATGCTGAATACCACGAAGAATGAAATTTGCGAATGATTATACGCGTTGGTACACCTGTATTGGGTACACCGTGTCCTGGTTCATTGAACCCTATAAAGGCGGTGGAGAAAATAATCGAAGGTACAGAACGAGCAAAAAAAAAGAAGAAGTCCCAAAAGGGCAGAGGGAGGAGCGGAAGCTAAAGTGGACCGTGCCGTTTTACATATTTTAACGGTTCTTCGTGTACCTCCGGCCTTCGTAAAGTTTGTCCGTCTTTTTTCGTTTTGATCCTTTTCTTCTTCTTCTCCTTTTTCTTCTCCTTGTATGACCTAACGTGGTTGCCTTCCAAAGGCGAGTAATGAAAATTATCTTACACAACATCCTGTATCTTTTCTCTATACTTTGATATATACAAGTTATTTCAAATGACAAAAATATCTCGAAAAACAATAGGAACAAAAAACAATATTGAGAGTTGAAATTTTCCATTTAGAAAAATATTAATAACGTTTAATATCTGCAAAACTGTAATATTTTATTTTATAGTATTATTATCTTAATATTTAATGTAATTTTTTAACATATTTGATACAAACAGGGATTTTGTAATACATATAATTAATTTTTAAAAGAAAAATTTATAAAATATTATTATTAGGCCATATATAATTATAGCTAGTATAATAATATATGATTTCATTGTTAACAATATAATCTCTTTAAACAATAAAATGAAACCGACGTTAAATGTGCATAAAATTAATTTATTTCGCTTATATAAACCGCACATTTGCTGAACATTAAAATAATAGATCGTTATATTGGCCGTATAAAGCTCTTGTTGAAAATCTATTATTGTATCGCATTGCTTGATATATTAATCGCCTTTTATCCTCACATCAGTGCAGGGGAAGCGTATTCATCGCGCGACCACGAAATTCCACGATAGATAATTTCGCGATTCTATTTCGCTCGCAAACAGATCGTACAAATATTTCGCGGTTGGCCGCTTAGCTGGATATATTATATAGCACGCAAAGCGTGCTACGAGAGCACGTTTTCACATATCACGCGATACACGGACTCAGATTTCGCTTGCGCCAAGCAACTTGGCAATAGCATTCGGTTGTCCGCAAAATGGGTTAAATTATCTTACTGTATCATCATAAAATTTTCGTGAATCCCTCAAATTCTTAGTGGACTAGTCCTTAGTTTATGGTTTTCAATCTGAATTTATTGGATTATAATTCTTTGGATTAGAATTCTATAATGTTTTTTGTTTTATATAATTTCATGAAAAAATAGAATTTTGTAAAATTTTTTATTATTAGATATTTGCGATGGCAATTTGGGTAAATATTAAACTCAGCAAATTTCATGTAATAATTTTTATTGTAATATACTGGATAATATGTTGCAGTTTTAACTCTATATCAGATTTTGGAAGTTAATCTACACGAATAATGATTAGTAAAACTTTTTTTTTTATATAAATAATTTTTTTTTTGCAGTACGGAAATATATTACGGAAAAATATGATAAATTACAGGATATATATTAGATTTGTAGCTTTTAGTTTAATCATCTTTGATATTTTTATTTTTTTTATGCGCTCTTTATTTACTTATTCTCACTGTTCTTACATTAGAGTAATATTATGTGCCAATTGGCATCGCCCATTACATACATAACATTGATAATTCTAGATAAAAGTGGTGTAATGCACTATTATTATATCCTATAAAATATCGTGATGTAACATCTTATCAGCCGTCTTGTCAGCCGCAATAAAAGCTATTCTCCCTCTATTTTTTCTCTTTGGATATAGGTCAGTAGTAGATCATTTACGGTAACGTAAATTGCGTAAGCAGTCATTTAATGCTGAAAACTGCCGTTGATCCGAGTGAAAATTAAATGAAACAGGATCTATGAGTGACAATGATGCATTACGGCGCAGTTGGCGAAGTTGCTTAGCAACGAAAAGAAGATACTACGCGGAGACAGAGAGACACAAGGACAAAAAGGGTCGAGGAAGGAGACAGGGACTTTTGCTTATATGGTCACTGATTACGGAGGGACCAAGGGCCCCAGGGGCCTTGGGACCGCTATTCTTAGAAGACGCGTCGCTCGTTCTCTCTTCCTCGCCGTCGTCCTTCTCCTCGACTCCTTCGCGTACCCTGCAGCGAACTCCTAATTACCTTTGCTTGCATATCTACCTTCTTTCTCCTTTTCGCTCGTTCTTCCCATCGCTCTTCTTCTTCGGTCATCCCTCACCTGCATGCATTATGCATTTGAAGATCGCGTGATAGTCGTGGATTATGCGGTCGCACCGGGCTTCCTTTTCCACGAAAGAAATCGCGAATTGGGTTTGCCACGCCGCGAACCGTGACTCTGATTGGCGAAAAGACACGATTACGTAAAAAATTGCAAACGAAAAGTATCTTTATGTTTTGAAGTATTAAACTTTGCATTGTATGCTATATACATATAATGAGTGTTCAAAAATTAAAAAATCCTGGAACAATAAATTAAGTTTTGTAGCCGAAATTGACCAATTTTGGACAAAACTTCAAAAATCTGATTCTAACGAAAATAGGACTAACAATAAAAAACATGATCGGATATATCGCGTAATTAGAGATAGCTATATTTATTTTTTAGTATTTTGTGATGTATGGCTATGTACATAAAATATGAAGCCAATGACAAATGAATTGCGCGCTTATCAAAGGCGGAAACTATTATACTTTCTGCATGTAATACATTGCACCGATACGTCCGATTTTTTCTTTTTATCGCGCTTTGCCTTGTTTCCGGAAAATTTTCCGTCGCATATATTCACGGTGAATTGGCGTTACCATGCTTTCGCACGATAACGTGTTGCGCTAGGATTCCTTCGTTTTTTCGCTGTCCTGACGAACTACCCGCGAAATTTCGCGAGAGAGAGTCAGAAAACCCCGCGCGGTCGGCAAATTGAATTTACTCTGCCGCACCACTGATGAAATGGAATTCAATTATTAGTAATACGGTGAATCGTGGGCTATGATTGGAAGAGGATCGCGCACCGGATGGCGAAAAAGAAAAACAGACGGCGGAAATTTCATTGCAAAAAGTTCATTGGATTTAATTACTGGCCCCTGTTTAATTGCACGCAGGATGCTCGATGTTTGTTTGATAAATACGCCAGATAAATTCGAGAGAGGGAAGAAAATATATCAAATTGATAATGTTCACAATGAGATCATCATGAATTCGAATATATTAAATATAGCTTTGCGATGTATTGAATATATACACATTTGCGCAATTTATTATGAATAGCTTATTATAGATAAACTGCCAAAAATTATTGTAAAATATTTTTGTCTTGCTATTTGAGAAAAATTTGTGCGGGTATCAATTAAAAATTATGTTTATGAAATAACAATTTTAGTGCGAGAAATTGTTAATAGGGAAAAATTCATCTAATATGACGGAAAAAACATAATAATTTCAAAATTTTATTCAAACAGTAAACTCATTAAAATTATATTTTACGCAGAATTCTCTCTAAACTTTGTTTTATAGATGTTGTATTTTAAAATGAGTTCATTCGAATACACATACACAAACTCATACACACATAAAGCTGAAAATTTTTAACATAAATAACTTTTGACGAATTTGCAATAATTATATCACTTATTCGCGCGGCTATTTCATTAATTTTTATATTTTCCCTATTACGATGTATTAATACCGCGCTTCATTAACTCTATTGTTTCCGTTTGGTGATACTGAAATTATATTCTGACGACGAAGATTCTCGATTTCGCCCGAGGGATGGATTCAATAATCTGACGGCAATTTATATCAAATTAGCAGTGCGCGCGCTTGCGCGATCTCATGGAATCATCCCGATGGAGAAGGCCGTTGTGGTAAACGCGGCCTCTTCATTACTGGCGCGCTTTAAGTACCGTGATCTGAAAATGGGGACCCTCGCAGAAAGAGGCCTCCATCCATCGGACCTGGACGCGCGCGCAACAATGCACGCGCGTGTGGTATTATTATAATAAATGGTTGCGTGTTGCTTGTCTGTTGCAGAAAAATTGCTGAACAGCGAGGGCCGCGAGCTGCGACGGGCTCTCTTCTCCCTCAAGCAGATTTTTCAGGTGGGTTTACAATTCGCGATGCGAATAGAGCGAGCGGGGCGAGAGAATGCCACGGTGTACGGTGGAGCTGGATGGATAAGGAGGATGGATGAGTGGCGGGACGCGTGACGAAGTCTAGCGGAGGATATTTTTACGCGAAACTACTTGTCCGACGAGTAAATATTTGCATGGCGAGTCGAGAGCGAGTGCATCTTTTCCTCTCTCTTCGCCGAAGACGCACGAATTTTTCTTCTCTCTTCCGAGAAACTTGACATAGCCAAGAATGAAAATTTCGATCAAATATTTGGCGATTTTATATCATAATATTTGTTTTGGTAAACTATCCACAAATAAAAACAACTTGTTTTATCTTGAATTAGAATACAATAATAATTATAAAATAAAGGAGAAAATATGTGCGATTGTACTTCTTACATATAAATATTCAATTAGTATTTATTTTACTTTCTAAACTGCGAAAAATGTTTTATTAGGAAAATATTAGAAAACGTAAAATAAGAGAAGACGGTTGAACTAATTCAAAATCTTAGAGATTCTCTATTTTTCTACTGCAAATCATACCGTTATTAAATTTTTAAGTACTTGAAAACATGTAAGAGTTTGCTGTACTCACGGGAAACCATAGTTCTCTATCAAATAACGATTTTTCTTTTTTTATCCCGTAACGGTGTTTCACTTTCTGCACGAGCAGTTCTTCCGCCTGATAATATTATCCTTTTTGTTAGGGAAGATTGTATTACAGTTTCTCGAATAGCATGTCAGTTGAAATACGTTGCTATTTTTTTTCTTTTTTTCCGGGATGTATTCAAATTTATCACTTCTTAAGATTTAACTTATATATTAAACGACTCGTTTATTTACAAGTTGTCTATCATCCGTGTTCCATTCGTCATCTGCAATTTCAAAGGACGAGATTATTAGAAATTCCGAATTAATTTTGTGCTATCGGACGAGTTAATTAAATCTTGCACATGTTTAATGATCCTATTCCCTTTCCGATTATTGCTATCGCGAATTCCAAGTCTTCATCACGACCACGTATCTCTCGTATTCTTGCACATCCTCCGTCGTTAATCCGTACAGCTAATCGAATTTACCGTCGCGAAAATCAATTGCACGTCCACCCGATATCTAATCCAGTCGCGAGACGTCATATATGAATATATTTCATAATTACTTCCACGAGACATTGGATACCGAACGCGAATGTGTGCCTTTTGTTATTCTCCTTTCGGCGGATTCCAAGTTTCTCTCGCGCCACGTGGAATCGAGGAAATGCATCGGTACGAGTTCAATTTCGCTTCTTAATCCACCGGGCTAATCGAATCTACGTCGTGCCTAAGTCCCGTGTAAACTTCCGCCATCTCAGAATTGGTAGAGCTGAGCAGGCGAGGGGAAACATAGGGATATACCGAAGTATATACGCGAACCATAGAAGTCCGACGAGATCGCGAACGAGCCACGGCGCCGGCATCGCGGCGCCCTCGGAGAAACGAGGGGGTTTAATCAAACTTCGTAGATTTTCCATTATGCCCGCGACTTTGCGCCCGGAGCGGCATAACTAATTCCATTTAACGTCGGTTGCGACGGGACGGGTTGGGCTTAGGTGGCAATGTAGAGGTAAATCACGCCGCCGTCAGGATCGGATATCAGCGCGCGCAGCCGCGTTAAGTTCTTCTTCTGGATAGATGTTTTTCCTACATCTCAATTTGTTGGAAAGCTTGTGCACGTTCAGAAAAGTAAAATAAAAAGAATTCAGGTATGTCTGAAAGGGTTATATCGAGAATTTTAATTGATTGAAAAAGAAAGGCAAAGATTGTTTCTGAAATATTAATAAATATGAATGAAGCTATTTATCATATGAGAAAAAATTTAACATACAATTATAATATATTATGAAAATCAAAGACTGTTAATTATTCTTATTTTCACTAATTTTATCTCACGCTTCACTTTGATGTAAAGTAGTTACACGCACAACGCAAATGTATTAATTAAAATGTAATGCAATAATTTACCAAGTTGTGCAGACTAAAAGCTTTCTGTTCTGATACAATTAAGAAACATGTCTAGCTGCAATAATGCATTCAGGTCTTTAGGAAAATACTTCCGCAAACTGTTCTTATTTAGTACGTCAACATAGATTTATGTTGTCGCCACGTTAAGTTACAATCAAGCCGGCTTATCGCGAATTTCAATTTTCCAGGAGGACAAGGATCTCGTGCACGAGTTCGTGCAAAATGACGGACTTGCCTGTCTTATCAAAGTTAGCAGTGAAGCTGATCAGAATTACCAAAATTACATTTTACGAGGTGAGTACTCTATCCATTAATCATAAAATTGAAGAATAGCTGCACTTTTCTAATGCTTACTTCTGTGTGTGATTCAATAAAGAGAAATCCTAGATCTTTCTCGCTTAAATTATTCTTTTATTGATGAAACTTTTATTTATTTAAAATCGATCTGGAACTTTTCTGTGTGAAAGCATAAGATCAGAATAATTTAAAAAATAGCAGTATATATAAGAAAGAATATTTTTATTTTTGAAATTTAAAGTTTTGAGGACCAAGTATATAAAAAATGTGTGTATATTCTTTCTTGAATAAAAGAGATATTGAAGAATAAATATACGCGTTCAGCTCTGTACTTGAAGACAATATCTTTTCTTCTATTGTTCTTAATTCAAGGTGTGTTTGACTACATGTTGCTTAATTTAGTAGTTGAAAAAGTTAGACAATAATTATATTAATATTTTCTCATAATTACTTGACATTTGATTTGTCTTTAATTACATATCTTGAATAATACAAAAGCATTTTACTAATAGAATAGAAGCTTGATCAGATATTTTTATCAATTACATTCTTTATGCAAATCTTCAAAAACTTGTCTAATTTGTAAATGACTTGCGAAAGAGCTTGTCACTACGGATAATTCGATAACAACGCAAAAGATAATTATTCTGTAGCTTCCGCATAATAAAGACGGTGCATCCAATTAGTCGGCGGGAAAGTCGTACTGTAAACGGCCTCGTAAATTAAGTTAAGGGAACGATGCGACCTTGTCGACGTATGCACGTCGAGATTTCGTGGTAGACGCGGGTAGACTCCGGCTCGCAATCTCACGAGTAACGATAAAATAATACCGGCGAATAATGCAGCCAGCGTTTAACGAGCGTGGCGCATCAACTTGGTCCTCGTCTTTGCTTTTCCAAGAAAGACGTGACGACGATGATATTACCGTCTAAAAGCCCCGACGAGGGGAGGCGATATTGCGTGTAAGTGTTAACGCGCCGCGTTTACGAAAGCGCCGACACGTGGGAGCTACAGTGGCTCGTGACTACTTGTCAAATCGCGAGATGCGTCGCGAATTATGAATAGCGCCTTTCGAATGCAGCATCCCGGGCACCGTGTTCAAGTGCTCCGTAAACTGTCGGCCCGACATGTAAGCGAACACGTTAATTCTACATTATGTGACGTATTCGTCGTGCCGGTGTAAGTACATCGTGAAGATGAAGAGACTCAAAGAACCTATAATGGAGAATTAGAAGACTAAATAGAAAATGTAATAAAGAAAGATTTTAAAATCGCGAACGTGATTTTGGAATTTTTTTTTAGAGAGAAAACTGATTTATCGTATGCATATTCAGGCATAATTTGATAATTAATAATTATAACCATTTATTTATAATTCATAATTCTTTATTTTATAATAAATAAATATAAACTCTTGATAAATTCTTCGATTAGTTGCAGCACGATTATAAATGATACTATGCGTTAAATTTGGCGGTCCATTTGAAGACTATAATATAATATGTAATAGAGTATATAGTGCACGTTCGATATGCACTGATTGCGATCTATATCTAATCTTTTAATTAGATTTGCTATGTCGTAACTTATGACTTTCTCCTGTAATGATAACAGCTGGATTAATGTTTGTGTCGGTGAAACGTGCTTAAATCGTTTTACCGTCATTGTCATTGCCGGCACAAAAGTGTCGTTGATGCAATTCATATGATTGTGCGAACACCAGAATTACTTGTCTTGCTCAACTACATTATGTAGAATTAAATTTGCGTTAGTTAGATATTGATTAAAACGCATACATGAGGATATAAAAGTGAAAAAGAATTATTGATTGTCAATCAATATTATTTCTGACATCAATTTATGTAACATGATTTATATAACATGATTTTGACCTGAATTAAACATTGTTAGTATTCTCGCAAACAAAATCGATTTAGCCGAATTGGATTTGAGACAGTTCGTTGCGACAATAACTTATAAATTTGATTTGACAAATACTCACGTAATTGTTTTACTTTATTTAGGATTTTGTTACTATAAAATCAATTTGAATTGCATAAATGACATAGATTTTTGTTTTTTAGTTGCGTATATTGTTCATTATAATTATTATTCAACAAAGAACTGATTTCATTTTTTTCTCTCTCACTGTTTCTAATTAATTTTCGTTGAAACGGTTTCTACCTACAAAGCATGAGTGTTCGTAACAGCTTTTCCTCATATTTTTCGCGCATTTTACATGCCAAGCGTGTTGTAATTTATTTAGAGCACAGCAAACGGGGCTTTTGTTGGAACATGCGAGTTTTAAGCGGCAACGTGTGCGCGCAAGCACGTTTTTGAGTGTAATTTCACGTGGAATAAAACCCGAGTAAACCTATGATCGACGGAATTTACACGTTAAATTTCAGTCGCACCTACCTGCGGCCCGAGGACGAGCCGGAAATCAGTTTTGTAAACAACGAGGCGGCATAGAGCAAAAATATAGGCAACATCGTTTCGGTTCGTGCCGAGATTGATGGATTTCGTTCGGCTACAACGATGGTCCTGTTTTTATTTTTCCTTGCATATCTGCATTCGCAGAGATCTCCGTATCGACTCTCCTCTTTTGTTCATATTTTTGCATTCCAGTAAAAATAGCAAAATACCACAGAGCGAATTAAAAGGCGAAATAAATGACTATATGATACAATATCTACAGTTCTAAAATCTGAAATAAAAAACGTTGATTAATGCGAAAAATATTTAAAATAGATTGAAATATAGCTGAGAAAGATCTTATTTTCTAATATTATAATTATATATATATACATATATATATTCTCGATATCTCGAGTATTTTGAGCTTTTACGTTGTTTGGATAGCTATGAAATCCACATTAGGGAGCTACATTTACGGACAATGGTTAAAGGCCTGTCTCTCTTCATACGCGAATTATCTGTAACAATTTAACCCTCCGCGTTTAATCTCGCAACTCGTTTGCATTTATGCAGCACTCGGCCAGGTGATGCTGTATGTCGACGGCATGAACGGGGTGATGGAACATGGACAGACGGTGGAATGGCTGTATACGTTAATTGCAAGTCGTTTTCGGCTGGTGGTGAAGACGGCGTTGAAGCTGCTGCTCGTATTTGTGGAATACGTGGAAACAAACAGTCTGCTGTTGGTCAGGGCTGTCAGGGCGGTGGATCAGGCCAGGGGCGTGGTGCCGTGGATTAACGTGATGAAACTCCTGAAGGATTATGATGCCGCCGATACGGAGTTGCTTATATACGCGACGACATTGATCAACAAGTGCTTGAACGGCATTCCCGATCAGGACACTTATTATGATCAAGTGGACTGCCTCGAGGAGCAAGGTATGGAGGGCGTCATTCAAAGGTACATGTCGAAGCAGGGCACGGACCTCGATTTGCTCAGGCAGTTTCAAATTTATGAGGCAGTGCTGCATCACGAAGACGGCGACAGAGGTTCGCCGATACGTCAATTAGATGACAATATAAGGTAGGTAATATTATAGGTTGAGCATAATATGATGCATAGATAATTTTATATCTAAAATTTATATTTCTCTTTCGGTCCGTATATAGATTAATATTAGATATTATACATATTCTTTGAAGAATATAGTAAAGATAATTATGTTATAATAGAAGAATGTATACTCAAGAGAAGATGCACAATTTTTTTGAAACAAATATTATAAATAAATTTTAGAATAATGCGTATTATTTTTATTTAATAATATTTAATAGAAAATTACATTTTTGGACGAGAATGAATAAAAAATATTATTTGATTTAAAATGAGATCACTGTGACAGAACTTCAATTTAAGACTTATCAAATCTAACAATCAAAATTCAATATTTAGGAAGAATATATATAGTACTGATAAAATTTTTAATATGAAGGAAAGTTGTCAAAAAATGTGTAATCGAAAATAAATCAGAAAGAATATTTTATATATTGAGGGGATATTATATTCTATTTTACGAAAATCTGATGAAGACAATATTTTACATTGATTTCACAGAAAGACTTTACGGAACCGGAAGTCTTTAGTGGATTCTCATGAACGACGAAAATCTCGGAGGCATTCGACAGGTAATTCGCCCTTGTCGATGTCCTTGAATGCACGTCTAAGTCCACGGCTTAATCATTCTCTGGGTGTGAGCTCACTGAACAACACCTTGAACTCCAATTTACCAGACGATGACGACGAATCAAGTAGCTCTCAGAGTTCCCACGGTCATCTGGGTGAAGTTCAGCTCAACGGCAGTTATAAAGAGAATAAAGGTAATTCTTTCTCTGTCTGCTCTCTCTCTCTCTCTCTTTTTTATTATAACTATATAAGTATATACTACTTATAAAAACAATATATTTATCTGCGAAAGAGAGAGAAAGAAAAAGAGAGAGAGAAGGAGGAGAGAAAGTTTTGCGATTAAATTTATTGTAGATAAACTATTTAATACATTTATTTCCTTTTGCACGAATAAAGTAGGTATATTTTGTTGCGCAAGTTTTGAACTATTTAGGTCTGCACTCGGTTATAAGCCTCATAAAAAACTTTATTTACTTTTTGTTTGTTTATTGTTATGGTTACATTACCGGCTTTATATAGTTTAACCGGGCATCGTCGCAGTAAATAATAATGCAAGTTTGTATATATCAAAATTTTTAGTATAGATAAAGTAATGAAATAAACTTACTTTATACTCCTGCGAAAATTGGCTGCAGAAATGTGTTTCTGCTTTATATGTATATAACAAAGTTGATTTAAACATTTTTTTCTGACAAAGATTATACATGTAAAATCAATATCTTTTTGAATATCTTTTTGTTTTTATAAATGATGTTTTACAAATTATTATGATTATTACATCTTTTTTTATTCTTTCTCAATAATATTTTTCTATATTTTTAACAAAAGGACTGACCATATATTGAATAAATTATAATAACAGTGGAGATTGAAATTATATAAGTAATATTAAAATCCAGAGATTATAATTTTCCAAATTCTTCAGACAATCTCAATTGGCGTACATTGTAAATTGATTCGTTAGCAATTCAATTGCATGATGAATACGAACTTGGACGCCCACGGGGTACGATTCCCGCATCGGCGAATTGCCTACCGAGATCTTGCGGTTTTCAGTTCCCTTGCGCATTTCATCGGAGACGCGATACGCGGTCAGCATAAATGTTCCATTAGATTTCTGAAGATATCAAATATACGCCAGGCCGAATACAATATCATAAGTTGAATATCTTGCGATTTATCTTTTTACGAAGAATGCATGTTATTTCTTTTTTTATTTGACCATACTTTTAGATAATGTATTATACATTTATATTACTACGATAAACTATTATTTCTGCTATTTTTATTCAATAAGAATGGCGGAAAAGTTAAAATTAATTTAAATTTAATTTAAATTTTGAAGAAATTTGCTTTTATATTTAATTTATAATAAAGCCAATTTGATTTTTTAAATATATATTAAGGTGTACATATGCGATTTGTTTTAATGAAAAATGGAAAATTGTATCGCGTGTTTTAGTGGATGTTGGTGTTACACCAGCGCTGAGACGACGAAGAGAACGCGCGGAGAGACAGAGGAGCTTTATTAGAGAGCAACAAGAGGCTACTGCAAACATGAGAGCTTCGCTTGGTCACACCGATGATCAAGAAAGTGAGTATTTATGAGCCATTTAATTGCTACATTTTTATCGCTTTGTTATTTTCTCAATTATATCTCCGATTATTATTGATAATATGTTTCTCGTTCTCACAGAAGAAAGAAATCTTGCTTAATTTCATATTTTATATATTTTATATATTCACACAGATAAACGATTTAAAAAGTAAATATATTAGAAAATAAAATTACGTGTATAAATTTCTTGTGAAATGTATTCGCGTTTCTTCAATCAAGTTTTTATCTCAAAATTATCAGACAAATTTAATGAAACATATTTTAATTCTTATTATATATAAATGCGCGCATTTTTTTTTCAAAATTAGATGTACAAGGAGATGCTATTCTAATATTATAATAAGTATTTTCTATCGTGTGTGCTATTAAAGGTCAATTCGCATCGAACAGTCTGCGATACACGAACGGCACTTCGTATGAGAGGAACGCTGATTCTCCCTCGAACAAGTTGTCTAGAACGAATAGCAGGAAGGACTTGACGCCCTTGATGAATGCGGCGAACAAGCTCGATTCGGAGGAGAAGAAACCATGGTATGGCAAAAGTCCTAACGAAGATGTCGAGTACGACGAGAATAATCACACTGACGAAGATGGGGATCGTCGAGTGGTTCTACAGCTTAAGAGGGAAGGTACCGTCAAGGATCTCACGCAGAAGTTGGCGGCACAGAATCTTATACCGAGCAGTCCTGTAGAAGAGAAAGTTTCCAGGTAATTTCGGCAAAGGCAGAATCTTCATTTTAGATGCATGTTGCTCGATTAATTTATCCCTTGCATCTTTATTCTATATTCGTATTTAAACTTTAGTGTAAACTTCATTAAACGAGACTATAAAAATAAGTGGAACTGCATAGAAAAGTCTCAAATGTATATTAGCTTAATTAATGTCCAAGAAAATAATTATATAACAAGAGAGCGAAAGGGCAAAAGAGAGACTCTTTAAATATTGAAACTAAAATAACATTCTTCTAAAAATTAACTCTACTCTATTAAATCAACTCTGATATTATTTTATTATATTTTATTATATTTATGTTATAACTTACAGAAGATATTTTCTATAGTATATTATATAAATTTTCACTATTAGATGACGTTGCTGTTATAAATAATTGGAGATAGTGTTATTAATTTTAATTTTAATTTTAAATACCTTGTTTTATTTATCAACAATTGTATGCATTTCTAAAAAAGTTTTCTTATTAAACGCGAAATAATGTCTTTGAACGCAAAAGTTGATTCCACTTTCATGACAAATAGAAGTTGAAAATAGCGTATTAGGATAGCGCGAGATATTGACAACAGCAATAGTACTTGAGGGCTGGAAGAGTTGCACAAACTTTATCATATTCGAGCCGGAAGTTCCATCGAGTTAATTTTACGCAGGATATTGCAAAAGTAGCACGGTTTGTATAAAAGTTAGTTTTCCGTCGCCGCCGGATGCGAAACTTTCAACAAAATCGATAAGCAGCCTTATCTTGAGTAAATTCTGTCATGCTATAAAAGTATCTAGCCAATTAAAAATTGATTAATATATTAGTATATGTTTGCAAAATATATACACTTTAAATATTCTAGTGTTTAATGATACGGATTGAATTGTATGAAGAAAATTGGTTGGAATATTTTTAGAAAGATTAAATCATATGGCAGGCAATTTAATTCAAGTGATTTCCATGTTGTAAATACATAAAGAACATTACATTATTATACATCAAAATTAAATTGGAGATTATTTCTATGTTTAACATTAAATATACTGTGATCATAACGGTTTTAATCCTTATATATACACAATTAATTTATGTAATAATTTAGTGAAACAATATTGTCGGGCAAAATTAAGTGGGCATATTATATTACCGATGTTATTCAATTTTAATTGCTTGTTTTTTTATGATATTTTGCTGTTTATTTTATGCTATATTTGAAAAATGTATACTCGTAGCACATGTCATTAAATATTATATATCAAGCGGTTTTACGATCTAGCATTTTTCACGCGTATCTTTAGAATAGGAGACATGAGCGGGCTGATTTCGAAGGCAAAGGAGGGCCTGGCAAAGTCAAAATCAAAAGCGGATGTATTGAAGTCGCCGACCGGTGACAATCTGCCCAAGCTACAGGAGACGAAAAAATCCGAGAACGAGCTGCACTGGGAGGAGCTGGTGAAGAAGCTGAAGAGACCGCTTTCTCTCTGCGACCTGGACTTCACCGATCTGAATTCCGACGATGAGATCGATGTGCTGGGATCCACTAACGTGACGAACGGAGTGCCACCCCCGCCACCGCCGATGGTGCCTCCGGCTGGAGACGTTCTGGCACCTCCGCCACCGCCGTTGAACGCGAGATTACCACCGCCACTTCCTCAGGGTCCGCCACTGCCTTTCGGCATCAACCTAAAGATATCGAGACCGCCGCCGCCGGCCAACGAGGCGCCGAAGAGTCCACCGTTGTTGCTCGCGAAGAAGAGCAAAAAGACTGTGAAGCTGTTCTGGAAGGAGGTACGGGACGATCCCAATATACTTGCGCGGCTTGACAAACACAAGATGATCTGGGACGAGTTGTCACCTGTGACCGTCGACACGCAGAAACTCGAGCACCTTTTTGAGAGTCGCGCCAAGGATCTCATTACTAAGGTGAGTAATCTCTACGTCCGACTTCCGTTGCGATTTGGTATAATTTTCGTCATATGAGCGACGAACCGTGAATTTCATCGTCGAGCGAATAGTTGAGGAGAATGACGTAAAGACCGATGTTTGTTTAAACGACGTCTAGCCTCGGTTGCTTCTTGAGATATATTATATATTGTAGTTTTATACGTATTCTGACATTTTCAATAGGGATTTAAAATAGAAGTCGTATTTTGCGTTATTTATTTTTATCGTGCTTTTTTTTTAGTGATGTCATTACTTATTGCCCAAATAATAATGGCAGTATTGACTAGTTAGTTTATTTTGATGAAAAAACCGCAATGTTAATTATTCTTGAAGAAGAGGAACGATTAATAATGTATTAGAAAATTATTATTTATTATAATTTAATCCATTTTTTACTTTGTTTTGTACTGATTTGTTCCTAGTGCTAGCCATTTTGTGATTGGTCAGTTTTTATGGGAAAGCTAATGTTAGCTCTTTACTCAAGCAAGGTTGGCAGAGGGGAATCTTTCTATGGCACTAAAATTTCGACGTGCATAAAGCATATATCAACAATCCTATGTACACAAACTCTACATGTTTGTTGATTCAACAATTTGGGATTGCATGCATTTAAAGGGGATGATATTTTTGTATTGCATCAATTTGAGTTGCATCGTATCGTCTATAATTTTAATAATATCCAAAATTGAAATTAATTATCGTACATTGCTATGTGAAATCGTAATTGGACACAGTTACATAATGAACAGAAGTTAAATTTATGATTCGCTTTAATTGGGCATAAGTATGAAACAATTACATCTACAATTTCCCGATTTCCCGAAATAAAATTTTATATTATTTTAGAGTGAAAGATATTAATTAACGGTAAATATTATTTAACTAAATATTATTAAAGCTTTACAAAAAGTATAGTTTATTTTATATTGCAAAGGTAATCGCTTTCTTTTCATAAATATATTCAGCTAAAATAATCGGACATTATCGATTTATTTTATCAGATTTAATTTATGATTGATTTATTTAGATTTTGTTTGATAATGTCTTATCTATTTCTAGTTGATGAAATATTCATGACAATATTAATGAATTATTTTTGTGAAGAGTATTTTTTATTTTTTCTCTTTATATATTAGATTTTCTATGAATTCTCACATTTCAAATTAAATTCTTTATTAATAATTTGTGCTATGAAAAGCTAGATTAATTTTTGTTGAGTAATATTAGATAGTTAATAAATAAAATTTTTTTGAATTTATATTTCGTTTTTGATTACAGATAATAATAGTAGTTCAACTATATAGTTCTTTTTATTTAAGCTTAATGGATCCCAAGTTTGTAATTATGTTAATCAGTAAATGAGTGCTGTGGATATCAAAGAAAATAGCTTCTGAAATGCAGTACGCTAGTTTTAACCTTTCTCGTCACGGTGTTGGTGTCGCAAATTACGTTCTTCATCTTTTGTTTATGCAGCTGCTGCTGCATTTATTTCTACCGTAAAAGAAACCGCTTTAACTGTAATTATGCATGCCTCAACTAAGAACGATGCAACGAGCTTCTTGATTCATTTATATACATATTCATGATCCATCTTTTATATCTTCTAACCGTAAAATTGAAGAAAGTAATTAAATGCGGCGATTATTTGACTAATGTAAACCATTTTTAAAATCCAATAAATTTTAATTAAGCTATATACATAAATTAATACACTTTCAAGTTAGTATTTAATAGGGCATCGATTTTAGAGTACAAAGTTGTCACAGCTAAACTTATACAATTTTTTAAACAAACCATTTATTTAATTTTAGCAATTTATTTCTGATCGAAGAGAATCAATAAAATTCCGCAGAAGAATGAACACACGATACACTATAAAAGTTACACACACACACTTAACATAATTAAAAACGACTTTTTTCTCTCTCTCTCTCTCTCTCTCATGTCGAAAAATTACAAAAATTTTACGCTCATTGGCATCGCAATTGAGTAGAAAATACCATCGTTAATTGCTGCATTAATTACACGGAGCGATTATATTCGTTTCCTCTCACTTGTGTAATTCGTATGTGTGCGTAACTAAATCGCAGCAAGTGATATACGTACGATAACGAGTACGACTGGGCTGCGCGTATTTTTCGAACGTTACTGAAAGCCGCCGCAATATTCCTCTGTTCCGGCTGTTTCCGACGCCGCTGTTCCTCGCCCTTTGAACCTACCTTAGCACACCGATAATTACAGTCGACCTGCGCGCTCGTAAAAAAGGGCGAAAAAATGGCTGTGCGCCAGGAAAATCGCGAGTTCGCAGGTGACGAAGCACGAGTGTAAGAAGGAACAAAGGGTGTAAAATGGAAACTCGTCTTCGACGCGAATAATGATGTTGTGCACAATTACTCGTTCCGTGACGTCGTAAATCAGGACCATGAACTCCGCATGTTTCGAACTAATAGGGAGGAAGGTTGGAAAAATCGGTGCCACAAGAGTGGTGATTGTTGTAGAGAAACTTGAGATTATAAGAAGGGATATAAGGAGGGATAGAGTAACATTAGAACGGTAACTATTACTCTTGAGTGTTATATATACAGAGGAAAGGCAGAATTATTTTTTAATATAACACGCGAGATATATAAATGTCTTTAAGAAAATATTACAAGATTTTTTAAAATGCGCTGTTAAAAATTTATATAATTTAATTCTTGGTATATACATTTTCTTTCTCTCTTCTTTTTCTTCTCTCTCTTTGTCTCATTCTCCCTCTTTCTTATTTTTTTAATATTATATTTAATATAGTTATGTAATCAATAAGTTGAATAATAATGATATTTTTGTATGAAAACAAAATGTCAAAATTTTAATCATGCCATTTATTACGTTAAATATATTATATTAAATACATACATATTAGATATGATTTTATATTGATCTCTTTTACTATATTACATATTTTCTAAAATATATTTATATATTTTTATTTTTTTTCCATAAAGAGAGAGATGTGAATTAAAAACGAAGGACTTACGTAAATTTTTATTTATATTAATTTTCGCTTTTAGTTTTATATTCGGCCATAGAGATATAATTATTAAATTAGGGTTGTACAATAACATCTGCTAATGTAATAGTAGCAGTTAACCGTAACTATATCGCGTGAAGATAACGGTTATGATAACGGACATGAATAACGATTATTACGATGGCCGAATAATAGCGGGTTGGTGATGGTGATGATGGTTTACTGCAATACGACTAATCTTCTTCTTGTATTCTTGGCAATGTTGTTGGTGCTCGCACGAAAAAAAAAATGAACGAAATGGCATGCGGAATTTTACAGGAGGTGAGTCTTAATTCCTTAACTTTCCGCGCGATTCTGTTGATATACGTGCATGTGTTTCGAGTGGATCTTCTCACGAGTATATTTTGCTATCTGGCACGATCGATCTCATGCCGATAATAATGCATTAATTAATGGAGATTTCGTGGGAGATATATTTCACTCCTCGAAGAGACTGCTACACGTACTTTCACCGATGTAAATCTCTCTTGCGTTTGTTATCTCGTGCACATTCCTCATCGTAATTGGCTAATCTACTAAGGATCAATTAATGGGGATGTTACTACTAACGTTGCCGTGACGATATGGGTGATTTGCGATGTCTATATATGTTTTGTTTATACATAACACTTCTTTTTATTTTTAAAATTCTGTGCAAGTATTTGTTGATCTTGTATTTTTCAATTTTATTTTGGATTTTCTGACATATATTAACTGACTTATATTTAAAAAATGATTGATGCAATTGACATTGCAATAAAAATGTATTATGTATACTTCGCTTTCTATAAATTTATTTATATAAATCAGGCATTTTATATATATAAAACACTTCAAATTTTTTATTGGATCTTTTTTATTATAGCCAAGATATTATTTGAATTATGTATTAAATACTGTGATCTATATTTCATTTTGTCTATTTTGATTTGTATTTATTTTATATGAACATTCGCATAATTTTCTTTCTCATACACATATTGGGAATATATTTTCTGTAACAAGTGGAATGTAACATGGATTTCTATAGGAGGATAATTTTCTATAAAAATAATAGTTTTACGAACTTATCGTTACAGGTTATTGAATTGGTATACTTTCTGAATTGGTATTGGATGCATAAAACCGTCCCAATAGTTCATTATCTATAAAGCCAGACAATTTTTGATGCAAGCATTCAAAGTTATTCATACACATGCCTGCGCACATACATAAATATATATATATATATA